GTGGGGTGGGGTGGGGTGGGGTGGGGTGGGGTGGGGTGGGGTGGGGTGGGGTAGGGTAGGGCAGGGCAGGGCAGGACAGGACAGGACAGGACAGGACAGGATAGGATAGGATAGGATAGACCAAGCAAAGGCCCTCCTGGTCATGACCACCACCTGCTTTCTGAGAAGGAGTCGTGAGTCCAGGCAAACCCCTAGATTATGTACAGGGTCTATTTGGGGTAGTGCCACCCCATCCAAGACCAAAGATGGCAATTCTCCCTCAGCCAATGTACACACATATGCACACAGTACTTTTGAACATACAAATTTCTAAGACGACAATGATGATGATGATTTATTTATTTAAAAGATTTGTGTGGCCACACATCTTAGAACACAACTCTGGTCAGCCGAACCAAAAACCATAAAAACAACAGAAATTAAAAACTGGATTCTTCAATGTTCTTCCCAGAGATGTCTTAACAATGATCTCCAGGTTCCTATCACTCTGCCTAAATACAGGTAATCCTTGATTTACAACAGTTCATTTAGTTTCTGTTCAAAGTTACACTGAAAAATGTGGCCATTTTTTATAGTGGGAACCTTTGCAGCATCCCCATGATCATGTGATCAAAATTCAGATGCTTGGCAACTGATCATATTTATGACTTTTGCCGTGTCCTGGGGTCATGTGACCATCTTTTATGACCTTCTGACAAGCAAAGTCAATGGGGAAGCCAGATTCACTTTAACAACCAGGTTACTAACTTTTCAGCTGCACTGATTCACATGATAACTGTGGCAAGAAAAGTTGTAAAATGGGATAAAACTCACTTAACAATTATTGTACTTAGCAACAGAAATTTTGGGCTCAATTGTGGTCATAGGTTGAAGACTTATCTGCACCTGCATTAGGAGACATATGTTGATGTCCTTCCAGAAGACTAGAAGGATGCGAGCCTACTGGTAGGGGTGGCCACAGGGGGAAAAAACATGCTTTTTAGGACCTTGGTTAATTGGATTTGTAAAGGCCATCCAACTTGAGGACTAGGCAATCTCCAGATATTTAAACTGGCCATGTTACCTAGGATTGTTAGTGCTATAGTCCAACACACATAGAGATAGCCAGGATACAAGCCCTGGTATATATAAATTATGGCTTAGTAGTCACCAGATTTATCCAACATTGCCATTTAAAGACCTTAATGGCAGAGGCCATTCTCATCTCATTCTGGCATACGAATTGAATTAATTAATAAGTACTTTCTAAGGAAATTCACCAATTTCATCTTAGCATTACAAAAGAAGAGAAATTATCTATCCACATTCTTCGTACAACCTTAACTTCTTTTTCTTCCTGTACAGTATTAAATGCCTCTCTGGAAGCAAGAACATAACAATTCATCCAGGGCTTTAGACAGCTGAATGGCTTGTATTAAATAATTAGATGCATGTTTGCCCGCTTTCCACCGCTATTTTCCTAATGGTTTAAAATAGCATTTGACATTATGGGCTGATTTTAAATGTAGTTCTCAAATTTTAATGTCCTTTTCATCTCTTTTATGTAGAAGGCAGTCGTGAGTTTGCAGTAGAAACAGCTCTGCAATAGATCATGGAATTACATTCTTAGATAAGGCTTAGATAAGAGGCGGAGTTTTTTGTGTGTGTGGCCAAGGGAAGGAAAAAAATATATTTCAGCCTCCAAGCAACAGAATCTGAAGGGGGGAGGTCAGCATCTGCAATATAATGGGAGATCAAAGTTCAATTTTTTAATATGTAAGTTGGAAAACGAAGGGCTTGGAACACAACTCTGCATCTACTATCTTGTGGACTTGGATTCTTACACAAATAAATGCTGCTATTTCCAGGAGCAATAGCAGCATAGAGGTGATGGGAATCATCACTGCATGGTTAGGTAGAAATGAAACATTTGCATGTTTTATGTGTGTCTTATGTTTTATGTGAAAATCATGCTGTTGACATCTAACAATTGTCCAGCAAATTTCAAAGATGAATCTCAAGGTATTTCAGGTGGGGCCATAGGAAGTTTACGGGCAACAGGTTTGCATTGGTATTGATCATACTGGACTAATCTGATGACATTATACTCAGCAAAAGGCAGCTTCAAATTATATGGATTTTGACAGCCATTTCATTAGAAGTCCCTCCCAGTGAGTCCTAAAAACATAGCAGCTAGGATAAGAAGTTCCTAGGAGTGAGCCATATGAAAAAAGATAAAAAGCTCCTAGGTATTAGCAACTGGACTACAGATAGAAAATGAAAATAAGAGAAATAATAATATACAGTAACATGATAGAGAAGCAACATAAGTGCATTAGACTATCTGCAAGATATACCATTTGCATGCAAGCAAGGATTGGTGGGACCACACAATAAACAAAGTAATAGAAAAAGAGGGTGCTAAATTGCTCTGGGACATATGAATTCAAATAAACAAGCACCTGCCACATAATGTTCCAGACTTAGCCATTGTCAATATGAAAGATTTTTTTAAACATCTGGGTAATGGACATTGCAGTCCTGGAGACATCAGAAGAGAAGACAAAGAATGGAAGAGAATCACAAATTATAAAAGCTTGCAAATACCAGTAGAATGACTATGGCAAAACAAAGCAAATATAGTGTCCATTTATTATACGTGCCTTGGGTGCAATTCTAAAGCATTCTGAGCATCATTTGAACACTACTAACATTGAGAAAGCCACCAACAGTCAATAGTAAAAGATAGTTTTACTTGGAACAGTTTACATCTTGTGATGATATCTTTAACACCATCCAATCACAACACCTGCCTAACCCAAGTCCTTGGGAAAGACTCAACAAGTGGATAAAAATGTCAAATCCAGTGTCATCTGGCTGATTGTGTACCAACCTTCTAATAATAATTTATTAAACTCTGAACACCTGTCAAAATGGTGCTTTTAAACTTGACATTTCTGATCAGGAGTTAATAGACACAAGGCCATGCTTGCAGATTACACCAAATTATTTAGACTGGTTTGTGATTAAAAGCAAAAAGGAATCCTGAGATATTAAAGGCTTGGAGACTGAATTTTATGAAAAACACTTAAAGAAACTAGATATGTGTAGTCTAACAAAGCAAGGACTAAGAAAAATCAATAAAACTGCTGTTGTATCTTATCTATACATCATCTATATGTCATCATCTATCAAATTTCTACACTGCCCAAATCTTCTAAATTACTCTGGATGGTTTACAATAAAAAATGTTTTCAGATACTTTAAGGGCTGTCACAGGGGAGTGTTGATTCATTTTCCATAGCTCTGAGGATAGGACAAGAACCAATATACAAATGTAACGTGATGGGCAATGTCTCCAAAAACTGTTAAAGGAGTACCAAGTTATAGAGAATAATGCTAGGAATAAATGCACATTGCACCCAGAACCAAATACAATTTGCCTTTCAGTATGAGCTACAGGGATGCTACTGCACTTCTGCCATACTCATGAGTTTCTTAGAGGTATGTTAAAAGTGGAGCTGTGATGGCTCATTGGTTAGAATGCAGTACTGCAAGCTACTTATGCAGACTGCCAGTTGTCTGCAATTTGGCAGTTCGAATCCCACTAAGCTCAAGGTTGACTCATCCTTTCAAGGTGAGTAAAATGAAGACCAAGATTATTGGGGTCAATATGTTGACTCTGTAAACTGCTTAGAGAGGGCTGTAAAGCACAGTGAAGCAGTGTACATAAATCTAAGTGCTATTGCTATCTAGTTGGTTACGAAGGAAAAAAGAGGTCCTGTAGCAGGGGCATGGGATGTGGGGTGGAGTTCAGCAAGATCAAGCCTAAGGGTGCAACCATATGAAAGTTTCCCATAACAGTAACATCCTCAATGGATCAATCTCATGTTTTCAAGATTCCAATCTGCCCCGATCCAAGAAATGCCATTCTTGCTGCAATTTAAGTTCATGCGCTACTCTGTGAGACATTAAAAAAAAAGACATTGTTGTTGTGATATCAGATCCTTAGTGTGCTATAAGATCTTCCAAAAGATGTCATTCCTCAAAACTAAACATTCTTAGGCAAATTTGATCTTCTAAGAAAACTAAAGAACAATGATCAACAGATGACAGTAAAGTGATATTGCTTACCTCATCTACATTCTCAAAGGCATTGATGATGTCATAAGGTAAACATGACAAGAGGTCTATCACAAACCAGGTTTTCAGGTAATTCATTCTGATGAGCTTGGGATCAGATATTACCTCTCCACCAGGTCCAACGAAGGTAGTATGAAAGTTCAAAACTATATCCACCAGAAAAATAACATCGACCACGCTATCCAGGACCAACCAAGCAATATTGTTCTGCTTTGTTTTGAAGGAAACGTTGTAGGGAACCATAATGGCTGTGTAGAAGGTGAGAATTAAGATGACCCAGTCCCAAGTGGTTTTAAAAGCACAGTAGTGTAAAATTATATGTGGTGGAGTCTTTGGGGCCTCTTGCTTATATTGTGGAAGGATATCAGATCCCAGCTGGAGAACCTTCAACAAAAGATACACAGATATTAGAACAATGCAATGATAGGCAAACTCATGCACTTCAGAACAGATAAAATAAATTATAGGTGAATTAAAATGAAATAATTCTAGGCTTACTCATACCCGACTCCAGAAGTGCAGGCAATTTGGGGCATTCTTCATTACAGCCATGCAACACCACTATTCTGTGATTTACATTGGTTCAGAGTATGCTTCCTAGTACAATTCAAGGTGCCACTCATCATCTAAATAGCTCTCCATCGCCTAGGGTCAGGCTACTTGTTTGGCTGTCTTCCTCCTGCTGTTTCTACTTACCCCGACAGGTTAATAGAGAGGGCATGAATTAATGACAGTTCAGGACAGTATTGAGTATTATTATGATGTTCCTGTTCCATTCTCCCCAACCTTCCACTGTCTTCTTCCTTAAGCCCTTTGTACCACAGTATCTTTTCTGGGGTCTTTATATGGTACTAGATCCCATAGTCATAAAAGGTAACACTTTTCCTTTTATGTTTCAGTGAACGCTTACTTCAGCTAATCGAGAGTGTTTATGGATCACCTCAGCTTTGTTCATAGGCGTTAGCTGCTGCAGAACACTCCGGCTGTTTGTTAGAGCTCGCGTCAAACGGGCAAACTTTGTCCAGCCTGAGGAAAGGGAAAGAGATGTTTTGGGCTATGAGCGACCATGACTCACCTATCATTTAGGGACAAAAAAGCATAATGGTTTACAATGTCAATCATGTTATTCATGCAGTTCTTTGTTCATGCACTCCTACACAGAATATTTAAGGCTTTAAGGTGACAATTAAAATATTTGTGAAATGGCAAAAGATATATTGTTCACATTAGGCTCAGAACAATATGGTAACATTGAAATGCAGACCTAGTTGAATGTGTGTATACATGAATAGGAGTTTGTGACAATATATCCAACATTTTTCTTCACCTTATGACTATATGTATAACAAATAGAATAGAACAGAGCTGGAAGGGACGTTGGAGGTCTTCTAGTCCAGCCCTTTGCTCAAGCAGAGATGTTACACCATTTCAGACAAGTGGCAGTCAAGTCTCTTCTTAAAAACCTTCAGTAATGAAGTGCCCACAGTTTCCAAATTATTTTCACTAAATAAGTTAGTCTAATAAAAATTACACTTTTTTTAAAAAAAAAATCTCAAAATTGCAGTGGACCTCCAGGCATAAAATATAAATATACAACTGTATCAGTGGATCTAGTTAATTAAGCCCCATCTTGTTCAGTCTTGATTGAATACAAATGTTTATCACTTTCACGTATCTCCAACAGTAACCATTCCAAGGACATTCCAGTAATTTTTTAATCTAATCCAGCCACCTTTTCCATTGGCTTCCAAAGCACCAGAAGACAAGACAAGAAACAATGGATGAAAATGAACCAAGGAGAGAAGCAAGCTAGAACTAAGCAGAAATTTCCTGACAATGAGAGCAATCAACCAATGGAATGGTTTGTTTACTATCTCTGCATCCATAATTCAGTAACATCTATCTTTTTTTTCATAATTTGTGTTAGTGTCCAGCTCCCACCACTGTACGTTATATCTGGAAACTTCACCACCTTTACTATTCTGATCTAATCCATCATTATCTTATCTAAATTTGTCATTGACTATTATGAAGAGTTATCTCAGCTTTGCTTCTCCACTTTTATGTATTCTAGAGCTCAAGAATATAAAAGTCTCTGTCATCTGCACTTCTTCAGCTTTGACTGTAAGTGCAGGAACCATGCAAGTTGGTTGTCTTCTTAATAATTAACACACATCTTTCCATGTTTGCTTTCATAATGAACTCTTTCAAATCTTCTTTACTTTTGCTAACAAAAAGGTCTCCTTATATCTCAAATGTTCGCGTTTCATTTCCTGTTTTGATTTAAGCTGCTCTCTCTCCTTGTCCTGCCATTATTATTCACTGTATATTATAATTGTTGAAATGAAATCAAATACTTCTAATCTTCTATTATTTGTTCAGTAAAGGGGAAACTCTAAAGAGGTTTCCTCAAAGGAAACCTGTTTCCCTAACATTAAATAGTGGTTCATCAATTCATCCCAGTCAAACTTCTTTCTACACAGACTTCTTTCTGTGGTTGAATTTTAGATTTCATAGAGTTTGAGGTATTATTTACAAGTGTTAAGTCCTTGGTACTACCAAGATCACTTTGTGTTGATTTTAAAAAGCCAAATAGGGTCATTGGGGAGTGTTTAGATGATAGATCATCAGGAAATATCCAGGCTATAGCATACACTGGGAGGTTTGGTGGAAAATACTCCCTGGAAGAAAACAATACAAATTATTTCTGTATTGTTGCAAGGTAACCATTATTAAAGGTGCCACGAAAACATCATGAGTCAAGAGTAATTCAGAGGTGACTTTATTTTTATAAGGCTTCAGAAAGTTGTCCCAGGTATTAGAGGAAGCAATAATATTTTGACACCAACACACAGAAGGCTGAGATGAACCTAGGCCTAAATACTTAAATATTTAAATAATAAAATAATCATCATCATCAAGTATTATCTGGACTTGGAAGACAAAACAAAGGTTAAAACAATTGGGATTTTTTAAGATTTTAAATTGTATCGTGAGTTGCTATTGGGAAAACATCAACAAAGTGTTAAGCAATAAGACAGAGGATCTTTTCAGATCTACTTTTCAGACAGAGGATCTTAAACTTGGAAAAGTGTTCTAGCAAAATAACAGTGCAAAATTAGGGGACAATACAAGCCATTCAGTGGATGGTATATCTACCTATCTGTCTGTCTATCTGTCTCTCCATCCAATTTATACAACACCCATCTATCCAAGAAATTCTAGGTGGTGTACAAGATAAAAACAAAGAATTCCATTAAACTAAAATAAAAACAAATAAAACCATACTGTGACTCAGTAAAGCCAAAACACTACCAATCACGTACACCTATAGCAGAGCCCCATATTAACTTCCCATGCTCAACACTTGGGGGAAGAGCCAGGTCTTCACAGCTTTGCAAAAAGCCAATAAGGCCAGTAAAGTAAGTGTTGTCTATCATTCAGGAGGGAGGCTGTCCTATAAAGCAGTAAAAGAGAAGGCATGATTCCAAGGATCTGCAAAATGTCACTGTTTTATTGATGGTTCTTGGAATATGCACATTCTGCCAGATCTGGTGAGTAGACAGAAATCACTGGGAAGAGAGGTCCATGCCACATAGGGCTTTAAACACCTTGAATTGCATCCACAAGCCTAATGGAAGCCTGTGCAGTTCACACAACAGCAGTGCTCCACAGGGGTACACAGAGGTGCATCTAGAACTCTGGATGAGCTAACACTTCTGAATGTTCTTCAAGGTCACCCAAGTAGAACACATAACAGTAGATTTGATGTAAAATACAGTTATAAGATCTTTATGTAGAAATGCCTCAAATCAGCCTTGTATTATAGGAACAAGAAGATAACCAGTAATTCCAGCACAATACTGTATGCCATCTATGACTCCTCCATTTGTCTGAATTATCTCGGCTTAGTCAGCTATTTTGAATTTTTGATGACAGATGGTCGGTCAATCAAGATTTATTCCCAGACGTTTAGATCATTAATCTGCAAAAGCTTTAATCTTTTAACATTTTATTCCATGCTGTTTGTATAAGAAATGACAGAATAGGCCTTCATATTGCCCCTTTTCTTTAATCTTTCAGTGCTTAGCCAATGATTCTGTTTAAGTTGACATATTGAAGGAAACAATTCCTATTATGTGTCTGCATGAAAAATGCAGCACTAAGTCTGCAGTCTACCAATGTAGCAATGCTACTACTAATAGATTCCAATATTCATTTTCAACATGAAAAAAAATCCACTGGGTACTGGAGATAAGTAAGAACAGCATTTGCAAGTATTACTGCCAGATTTTTATTAGACAAAGATGAAACCAGCAGATGAATTACATAACTGATGTGTAATCAAACCAAGTACAGATAATAATAGGCACATAAAGCCTAATAGATAATACTGCATTGCATTGAATATAGCTGTATATCTATCCATCCGTCCATCCTGCATATCTTTTTTTCCCCATATCTGTGTTCATTGTATTTTGGTTGAGCTTATATTTGTTGTTGTTGTTAGTTGCAAAGTCATGTCCAACCCATCGTGACCCCATGGACAACGTTCCTCCAGGCCTTCCTGTCCTCTACCATCTTCTGGAGTCCATTTAAGCTCATGCCTACTGCTTCAGTGACTCCATCCAGCCATCCTCTGTCGTCCCCTTCTTCTATTGCCCTCAATCTTCTCCAGTGAGTTTTTCCTTCTTATTAGGTGGCCAAAGTATTTGAGTTTCATGAGCTTGTATATTGAACCTATATGGCATGAACCTAATCATTGTAGTTTTAAACTATTATTCATAGCTTAATGGAAAATGAAATTCTAACCAGTGTCAGCATGTTGACCAGTATTGATTTGTGGAATCAAAAGCAGAACTTTTGGACATGACCCACTATAATAATCATGATTATTAGTGAAAAATGGGACATGCAGAAACAAGTAAGAGACATCCGCACACTCAGAGAAACCCTACAGTTTTCAATAAAGGTGTATGTGTGAAAGTGAGTGAGTGAGTGAGTGAGCAAATGAGTGGGTGTGTGAATGAGTAAGTGAATCAGGGAATGTACTGTATCTCTGTATTTATCTCCAAACCTCAAAGAGAATATCTATGGAGATTCTCAGTCGTCCAGGTCATGGTTGTCCCAAAGGTGCTTTTTTTAAAGGCAACTGGACTTTCTGGTTTTTCTTGGAAGAAGTTTCATTTCTCATGCAAGAAACTTCTTCAGCTCTAGGAGCTCTAAGAGAATGGAGCAAGTCTTAGTATACTGACACTGAAAAGTATGTTGAGGAAATGGCGTGGCATGTTGGCAAAGAACATTTATGTTTAAGATTTTTTTTTATCCTGCTTCTATTATTTTTATAAATAACTCAAGGCAATGAAAATACTTATTACACCTTCCTTCTATTTTCCCCATAACAACAACCCTGTGAGGTGTGTTGGGCTGTGAGAGAGTGACTGGCCCATGGTCACCCAGCTGGCTTTCATGACTAAGACAGGACTATAATTCACAGTCTCCTGGTTTCTAACCTAGTGCTTAAACCACTAGACCAAACACAGCTGGCTGGACAGATCCTGCAGAATCATCTTATTGAGAGGTGAAAATACACTACAACATTTTCTTGCCCATCAAACTTGTTCCTGGTGAAGATTAGATGGAAGATTGTTGCAGAAAGAAACAGGAATGGAAGATTGCAAAAAGAACTTGGAATAATTTTTGAGAATAATCTTAATACAGACCCAAATATAAGAATGGTTTAGGATGCAAGTAAAGCTTTTATGAGAGGGTGTTTTATAAAGCAATAATAGTAAGCTCAAAAAAAGAGAAAGAAAACACAAGCAATGTTAGATGAAATAAAAATGAAAGAAAAAAGTATTTAATAACAAAAAGTAGGTAATGGTTAGCAATTTAAGTTGTTAGAACAAGAGCATGGTGAGTATAAGATGAAATCATGAGAACAATTGGCTGCAAAGGATTTAATTTTCCATGGTTTTGTATAATGGATTCATAGAAAGATTCAAGGTAATTTGGAATTAAGCAAC